GCCTTACTAGTAGTAACAAGAAGCTACTAGTAACAAGTGCATCGCTACTAGTAACAAGTGCCTTACTAGTGATCCAGGAATGGGAACCGTGCAGAAGCAAAAGTATACTCCAAGGTCCTCACATGGACTGGAATGTTGCTAGACCCGGCCACAACCAACATTGCAGAACTTTCTTGTGTCACTGCACACAGAACATCAAGGTTATGCCACACAGAGCCGCAGAGCCATATTACCCACGAAACATTTCATGGTGGCATAGAAAAACACAGCCCTTTCTTTTAAACAACCTCAAATGGCATGAACTGGAACACTATGTCCCAAGTGAACTAGATTGATTTCGCATCCTGCTTTGTCTTGATTCTTGACGTACTTTATAGCAAGCTGCAGCAATACTCCACTAACATGATTCAGAGGAGCTCCCATGAGCCAGCCATCAGGCGTGAGAGCTGCGCAACAACACAGTGGCCCCGGCCTACCATTGATGATTGCCGGGATGCTTAGGAGAAACACTAGAAGCGTCACAACGCTTTGTACCCTTTTCTTAAAGGTATTTCAAAAGAGGTTGCGCATGCACCTTTGCAAAACCCGGTATGTTTGCCTTGGTTAGTGGTCAAGAGTATGTACTTGTCGCCATTGAACTGTGAATTGCGCTTTCCTGCCCTCAAACGACATCTCTTGGAACTTCGCAAAGGACCACCAGCAGAAAGTTGTTAAATGCAACAACTCTTGCAATGACTATTTTGTCAGAATCCAATCTTTCAGCTTCCTAGTCTCAATTCTTCAGAGCAACTTGGGCGCCAGTCTTTGCCTTGAGGCTGGAGGTAGATCAGAGGCGCACCAAACGTGATTCGTTGCCATGGAACTTGTCGCTCAGTTGCTGGGCAATGGCAAGCAGACCGGCGTTGCTGGTGGTATGACCCCTTTTGAGGGCCTCGTGTTGTGAGGGCTTTTTTTGCTTTCCCATGCTGCTGTAAGCACTTTGGGATTTTTAGATCAATAACTTTAAATTGTGAGACAATGAGTTCAGGTTTGAAAAAAAGCCTTCATAACCATGAGAAGTCGGGGCGGCACTACCGATGACAGAGCCAGTACTATAAAATGACGTTTATATTCTAGAAAGCACCTGTGAAGGGTTCTCTTTAAAGACCGGCTACTGTACTCGTACCGACTTCATCTTCCCTATCATCACCATCATCATCATCATCACCACCTTCATCATAGATAAGTACTTGTAAACTCTTGTAAAATGCTTCGACAAGACTTCTACAGACAGAACACCCACTACTTTGACGGTGGGCGGGCCCGCCAGCCGTGCGATTTGTGGAGCGGTGCAATTTGGCATGTGAGCTCCCAGAAGCTGCTCCTGCACTACATTTGTGCTACAAGTTGCCAGTTCTGAACCTAGAGCCTTTAGAAGCTACTCACCGCACAAGATTTGTGCTACAAATATGCCAGCTCTGAGCCCGAAGCTACTACAAGCTACCCGCCGTACTACATCCCCAGTACCGGGAACTTTGTAGTGCCGGGAATCGCTCATGGTGGGAGCATCCATTTGGGTTGCTCCGTGCCATTGGAGAACGGGAAACATGATAAACGCGGCGTGTCGCTGGTGAGCGGGATGCTTTGTGGTCTCAATGTGGACTGGTCCAGGCGTCATATGTTTGCATCTTGTCTAGTCTGTGGCACGTGGTACGGTGAAATTACGTCCGTGATGTCACCGTGCAATGTGCTTTGGCGTGGTCTCGGTGGAAAGTGGATAGCTAGCTCCGTGCCGTGAGGCACGGGGAAACATGTGTGTGTAGACGCGGCCTGTCTCTGGTGAGCCGGATGATTGGTGGGCGCTTGCGGAGGTTTCTCCTTCAAGCACAGCTACCAACTTCATTGTTTTCATTTTGAATCATCATCACCATCATCATCATCATCACCTTCGTCATGATGTCATGATGCCCATGTCATCGTCAACATCGTCATCATCATCGCGTGTGATTGAGAGAAGACTCAATGAATGACTGCTGGACGTTTAGATAAGGCGCAAGACGACTTCACCGTTTTTCCCGAATGCGTAGCGAAGGGTTCCCGTTTATAGTTGGGGGTCTGGGGGTTGGAGCTGTGTTCGCGTGGCTTGCGTCGTGTCGTCGTCTGTCGTCGTCTGTCGTCGTTTGTCGTCGTTTGTCGTCGTCGTCGCGTCTCAAATTTGCTGCCATTGGGGGAAGCTTTTGCAAGTGACTTTTCATGGATGTGTCACGTGTCAGTTTGCGCCGCTATTCCATTGTGATTTGCATGACACCGACCTGTCGCGCAAGAAACGTGATGCATTTCGCTGCACAGGCGCAGCGTTTTGTGAGATCCGCAGTTTGCTGCGCAGTGCCATTGGGATTAGCGTTTGGAGAGTCGTGTTTTTGGGGTGTTGGATGTGGCCGTGCCATTGGGATTTGCGTTTCAGGGTGTGGCATCGAAGCTCTGTTTTCGTGACAAGTCTCAGCTGAAATGGCGATTTTGGTGGATGGGAGTGTGCTCTGAACGGGTCAAAATCATTCCAAACGTGTGGTGTGGTGCAAATTTTGTTGAAGCTCACATGCGATGATATTGTCACTTTTCGTGGCAGGCGCAGGACTTCGTGCGGGTTTTGAGGCGTGGAAGTGCGATTCTCGTGGCAGGCGCGGGGAATCGTGAGGTTGCGAGGTGTGAGGGAGGTGACATTTCGTGGCAGGCGCAGTACTTTGTGCGCGTTAGACGTGTGGATGGGGAAAGATTCGTGGCAGGCGCAGGGAATCGTGAGGTTGTGAGTTGTGGTAGAGGTGAATGTCGCTGTCACATTGGGATTGGCATGTGAGCGGATGTTGTTTGGAGGGGCTGGAATCGCGAAACTGCTTGGCAGGGCTGCGTGATGTGTGTGCTCCGATGGGTGTTTCCGCTTGAATTTTGGAGGAAGTCTCGTACGAAACGCTCGTTTTGCAGACTTTGACGTGTGAGTTTTTTGAGGAAGTCTCGTACGAAACGCTCGTTTTGGAGACTTGACGCGCAACCCTCTGCGGAGATCGTGCGTGTCGAGTGTGCGAAATGCAGGCGAGAGTGCGATTTGACCCATGCGCGCGCAACACTCTGCGGAGATCGTGCGTGTCGAGTGCGCGAAATGCAGGCGAGAGTGCGATTTGTCCCATGCGCGCGCAACCCTCTGCGGAGATCGTGCGTGTCGAGTGCGCGAAATGCCGGCGAGAGTGCGATTTGTCCGGTGCCCGGGCTACCCTCTGCGGAGATCGTGCGTGTCGAGCGCGCGAAATGCAGGCGAGCACTGGCGACTTTGTAGTACAACTTCAGTATGCGGGGTATCTGGGGAGCTGGAAGATGAGAACTGGTGACTTGGAGTGTCCTACAAGAGTGTCCCACAAGCGTGTCCCACAAAAGTGGCCTACAAGAGTGTCCCACAAGAGTGTCCTACAAGACTGTCCCACAAGAGTATCCTACAAGAGTGTCCCACAAGAGAGTCCCACAAGAGTGTCCCACAGAGTGTCCCACAAGAGTGTCCCACAAGAGCTTCCTACAAGAGTGACCCACAAGAGTGTCCTACAAGAGTGTCCTACAAGAGTGTCCCACAAGAGTGTCCCACAAGAATGTCCTATAAGAGTGTCCCACAAGAGTGTCCCACAAGAGTGTCCCACAAGAGTTTCCTACAAGAGTGTCGCACAAGAGTGTCCCACAAGAGTGTCCTACAAGACTGTCCTACAAGAGTGTCCCACAAGAGTGTCCCACAAGAGTGTCCCACAAGAGTGTCCCACAAGAGTGTCCCACAAGAGTGTCCGACAAGACTGTCCCACAAGAGTGTTCTACAAGAGTGTCCCACAAGAGTGTCCCACAAGAGTGTCCCACAAGAGTGTCCCGCAACAGTGTCGCTCAAGAGTGTCTCACAAGAGTGTCCCTTAAGAGTGTCCGACAAGAGTATCCCACAAGAGTGTCCTACAAGAGCGTCCCACAAGAGTGTCCCACAAGAGTGTCCTAGAAGAGTGTCCCACAAGAGTTTCCTAGAAGAGTGTCCCACAAGAGTGTCCCACAAGAGTGTCTCACAAGAGTGTCCCACAAGAGTGTCCTACAAGAGTGTCCCACAAGAGTGTCCTACAAGAGTGTCCCACAAGAGTGTTCCACAAGAGTGTCCTATAAGAGTGTCCCACAAGAGTGTCCCACAAGAGTGTCCTACAAGAGTGCCCCATAGGAGTTTCCTACAAGAGTGTCCTACAAGAGTGTCCCAGAAGAGTGTCCCACAAGAGTGTCCTACAAGAGTGCCCCTACAAGAGTGTCCCACAAGAGTGTCCTACAAGACTGTCCCACAACAGTGTCCCACTAGAGTGTCTCACAAGAGATGTCCCGCAAGAGTGTCCTACACGAGTATCCCACAAGAGTGTCCTACAAGAGCGTCCCACAAGAGTGCCCCACCAGAGTGTCCCACAAGAGTGTCCCACAAGAGTGTCCTACAAGAGTGTGTCACAAGAGTTTCCTACAAGAGTGACCCACAAGAGTGTCCTACAAGAGGAGTGTCCCACAAGAGTGTCCCGCAAGAGTGTCCTATAAGAGTGTCCCACAAGAGTGTCCCACAAGAGTGTCCCACAAGAGTGTCCTACAAAAGTGTCCTACAAGAGTGTCCCACAAGAGTGTCCTACAAGAGTGTCGTGTAAGAGTGTCCCACAAGAGTGTCCTGCAAGTGACCCACACAAGTGTTCTACAAGAGTGTCTCACAAGAGTGTCCCACAAGAGTGTCCTACAAGAGTGTCCCACAAGAGTGTCCTACAAGAGTGTCCCACAAGAGTGTTCCACCAGAGTGTCCTATAAGAGTGTCCCACAAGAGTGTCCTACAAGAGTGTCCCACAAGAGTTTCCTACAAGAGTGACCCACAAGAGTGTCCTACAAGAGTGTCCCAGAAGAGTGTCCCACAAGAGTGTCCTACAAGAGTGTCCCACAAGAGTCTCTTACAAGACTGTCCCACAACAGTGTCCCACTAGAGTGTCTCACAAGAGTGTCCCGCAAGAGTGTCCTACACGAGTATCCCACAAGAGTGTCCTACAAGAGTGTCCCACAAGAGTGTCCCACAAGAGTGTCCCACAAGAGT